CCTAGGTTTGAAGCGCTTTTTGAAGGGCCCACAAAGGAGCAGGGCAGTTTTGAAGTGGTGGAGATCAATAAAGGGACTAGCATTCTTGCCTAAGCATCTACATCGACGGGTGCCTGGGCTTTATCGTCCATCCTTCCCTTCGACCCACGAGGCTTATCAAAAATGTGTGCAGTTTCTGGCTTATCTCCACAGTACCTGGCTAAGAGGGCCACACGCGGAATTATGATGGGGAGGTAATGAGCTCCGCACTACAAACCTGGCGGAAGCATATCACAGGTAACAACACAACGTTGCGCTATAGGAGCAATAAAAGCAGCCGTTCAGCAAACTGCGCCGAATCCTTAAAAAGAAGAACGTGGACCTGGATGCTCTTCTTAAGCGGGTGCGAGCAGCGAACACGAGAGCATTCGCGGATCTCTGCGCATTGGAACGAGTAGGTTCTAATAAAATAACTATTACTAAATGGCTTCACAATAGCGTATTGTTATGGTAACGAAAACCTCTCCTTCCAGATGCCAGATGAGGAGAGAAGGCTAAGGAAACGAGACCAGGACCGGCGACTAAAAATAGCGGCAGAAATGCGACGTTTCCGAAAGAGTAATGGAGAGGCCGTGCATCCTGACGTCAACAATCATCAAGTACTGCCGTCGAATGTCACAGTTTGTCTCCGAGAAACTATTTGAATTTTTACAGTCTCAATCTTATGGGAAATCTTTGCTGTGATACTTAGAAGTCAATTCGAATAAACTTTCTGACGTCGCAGAAAACAAGAAAATTAAGAACAAGAAGGAACACAGTCAGAACAGTGAAGACTTTGATCGCGCCAGCTGTGGGCTGCATTCACCAGGAATCGTTTATAGTTCCTGAACAACACAGCCTGCCACTGGCACTGATCACAGTAAGGAATGGAAAAGATGCCAGGAACAATCTTGGATGGGCGTAACATACCCTTGAGAGAGCACGTGTCCCTGGACAATGCCCCCAGGTTGCATCGTATCTCTGGGCAGTGCCCCCTAATTGCCTCGTCCCCTCCTGGGTAATATCTCCAGGCAACGGGTTAATGGACGCTTCCTCATACATACCGTAGAAAGATTTTGAGTAGGGCAATGACGAAATAGATAAGGAGCATTACAGCTGGTAAGTAGGGTTCAACCCAAAAAACTGGAATCATGCAGCAATTAGAAGTGAATCGTAACGTGAATAAATCACCATAAGGGTTACCTCATCTAGGGAAAATAATGAAAAGCGCATCATAGCAACAAACATAAAAAGTTACTCACCGAATTAATAGTAATGGTGGACGCTCATGCGCGAGTTAGTACTGGCGCTGAATACAGCATGCAGTGAAGACGAATAGTAGGGTGAAATACTCTAGTTTATGGCGAAATAGTCCCGTCGATTGCGAAAACGACTTACGTACTTACGCAAACATTCAAAGGGCGAGGACGATTCTGGCAAATTGCCAGCGATTGGTTGTGATTGGAGCATAGTGGCGGAGCC